ATCGGTGCGTGGCATCCAGCTAGAGTGTCCTACACAGTAGCTAGGGCTGGTCAAAACGGTTACCATCACCGTACTGAATTAAACAAGAAGATTTACAGGTTGGGCAAAGTTGGTTCAGAGGCTCATTCAGCCATGACTGAATACGACAGGTCAGTAGCATTTACTCTTTATCTATCACTTACTTTAGTTCTGTATTGCCACCTCCCCTGATTGTGATTTTGTTTGGCAATGATATAGGACTGAGAAGGAAGTGACTCCAATGGGAGGATTCGCACACTACGGTGTGGTGAAAGATGACTTCTTGATGATTAAAGGTTGCTGTATGGGTCCAAAGAAAAGAGTTGTGACTCTGCGCCAGTCGCTGCTTACTCAGACATCTCGTCTTGCCATGGAAGTGATTAATCTCAAGTTCATTGATGCCTCCTCCAAGTTTGGACATGGTAGCTTCCAGACCTCCCAGGAAAAGGCCAAGTTTTATGGTCGTGCAGCAACAAAGGCTTAAACAAGTTCTCTTTCTGATTAGCTCTTCTCTGAAAGTCTAAATGTTCTGTGGCAATTTTGGGTTTTTTTTTTAGCTATTTGGTGAATTGGAACAGTTTTTTTGCTTCTTTAACTATTCTTTATATTTTTTTCTTCTCATTTTCTTATTCTGAATTAAATTATCTGTTTTGATATAAACCCGAATGAGTTTTATTTTTAGTTAAAAAGAATGCGAATTAATTACTCTTCCTCTTATTAATTCAATTGGAAAAAATAAAAGTTTACAATTTCACCAAATAATCAGAAAAGTCACTTAAATTTTTTAAAATTCACAAAATCCTTCAAAATCATCTCAATTTTTCCCTCTTGATTTTTACACTTGTTCCTTTTGTTTGGTTTGGTTAATTAAACACTAGGTACTAATCTGAAAACGTGAATTCGTAATAATTTATTTTGTTATTATTTAATTGAATGTTTATGTGCGTTGTATTAATATACTTGCTCTGTTTCATTAAAAGTGATGTTTAAGGTTTTGGCACACTAAATAATAAAACATATAACTTACCCATTTTTCATAAAAACATCATTAACTAATATGAATTCAACTAATATGAATTCAACCAATAAGAAAATATGATGTAAAATATTATTGGTCAAAAAAATATTAAATACATTAGATTTTTTGCATAGGAAATTAAAAACATCACTTATATTGAAACAAAAAAATTGGCTAAAACATCACTTATAATGAAACAGAGAAAGTATTTGTTTAATTATTTTGCGGTTTTATTTATTTAATTTGTTTGATTATTTTGTTTAATTATCTTTGTTATTATCATTGTAAAGTCTTACAATTTACAATATAAGGTTATTTTTATTTGTGTACTTCTTAATATAGTAGGATTTACTTCTACCTACACAAATCATAAAAAACCCTTCCGTTTTGATAAGAGATTGATTTCCATTCCGGATTTTGATCTTATTGTGGAAAAAGGATGGAATCTATGTAAGGCTAATCGATCATATTCTATTGGTGATCAAATCTATGATTGTCGACTAGCTATGTCTAAAGGGAAACACATGTCCAACATCAATGCAGCCAAACGCATAGTATACTTTCAAGATGTCCTCAACAAGGCTATGGAGAGTATGAATCGTTCTCATCGTCAACGAATACCAAAGCTACAAAGAGAGCTCCAGTTAGCTTATAATGATGAAGAATATTATTGGAAAAATAAAAGTAGAAATACATGGATGACTCTTGGAGATCGTAACACTGGTTTCTTCCATGCGAGTACGAAAACTCGATACGCTAACAACTTTATTTCACTTATTCGAGATGACCACAATAATATATATCAAGGAGACAAAGAAGTTGGAGACCATGCCCAAGAGTATTTCACTAATGTATATACATCGAGTAATACTCCAGTAGCACCTATAGATTTTGGTGATTTCCCTCCCACTGTTTCTTCGATCATGAATGATGACCTCACCAAAGATTTTAGTGCTGCCGAAGTGTTTGAAGCTGTTTCTTCTATCAGCGATGATAAGGCACCAGGACCTGACGGATTGACTGCTCGTTTTTATAAACAATATTGGGGGATCATAGGAGATGATATAATTATGGAAGTTAAAGATTTCTTATGAAACCAGGTATCAATCACACAAATATATGCATGATACCTAAAAATGACAAACCATCCACTTTATCGGATTACAGACCCATTGCCTTGTGTAATGTACTTTATAAAATAATTTCTAAATGCCTAGTAAATCGGTTAAAAAAACATCTAAATGGTATAGTTTCAGACTCTCAAGCTGCTTTCATTCCGGGTCGACATATAAATGATAATGTTATGATTGCACATGAGGTGATGCATTCTTTAAAAGTAAGGAAAAGAGTTTCACAAAATTATATGGCCATTAAAACTGATGTTACTAAGGCTTATGATAGAGTGGAATGGGATTTTTTGGAGGTTGCGATGAAATTATTTGGTTTCTCGGAAATTTGGATTAATTGGATAATGGCTACAGTTCGTTCTGTCCGTTATTCTATTTTAATCAATGGCTCTCCACAAGGTTTAGTCGTTCCAGAGAGAGGTATTCGTCAAGGGGACCCTTTATCCCCATATCTTTTTATTCTATGTGCTGACATTATGAGTCACCTTATTAGAACTCGAGTTAAAGATGGAGATATTCGTGGAGTTCGAATAGGCAATGGTGTTCCACCAATAACCCACCTCCAATTTGCTGATGACTCTCTTTTCTTTTGTCAAGCAAATGCTAGAAATTGTAAAGCTATTAAAGAAGTTTTTCAAGTCTATGAATACTACTCAGGGCAAAAAATTAATATGACTAAATCTCTTATAACTTTTGGCTCAAGAGTAGATGGACATACTCAAACTAGACTAAAAAACATTCTAAATATTCCAAATCATGGGGGTGGGGGAAAATATTTAGGTTTGCCGGAACAATTTGGGAAGAAAAAGAAAGAAATGTTTACTTACATTATTGATCGAGTCAAACAACGTACTTCTACTTGGAGCGCAAAACATTTATCACCGGCTGGAAAAGAGATAATGTTGAAGTCAGTCGCTTTGTCAATGCCTGTATATTCGATGTCTTGCTTCAAATTACCGCTTGGTATTATAACGGAAATAGAATCGGTTCTTCAGAAGTTTTGGTGGGAAAAAGGTCATCAGAATCGTGGTATATCTTGGATAGCTTGGAAGCGTCTTCAATATGCTAAGAAAGATGGTGGATTGGGTTTCAAAGATTTGGAGAAGTTCAATGACGCTTTACTTGCGAAACAAGCTTGGCGAATCATTAAACAACCTGAATCTCTTTTTGCTCGTGTCATGAAAGCTATGTACTTCCGAGATTGTCCAATTTTGGAGGCGAAAAAAAGATTAAAACAATCGTACGGATGGGCATCGATTCTTGCAGGCTTGGAAGTAATTAAAAAAGGAACTCGTTTCACAGTCGGCAATGGTGAACATATACGTATTAATAAAGATAATGTTTCTCTAACTCATCCTCCTAGACCGGTTTTTAGTATTGATCCAGGCACAGAGGATCATTTAGGTGATTTAATCTCGAAGACGGGAGGATATCGACATTGGGATACAACAAAGATTTTAGAAACAATAAGACCAGAAGATCATTTTATTTTACAGGATATTTACCTTTCTCAACAAGCAACTCCAGATGGTCTTGCTTGGCATTATAACAACACGGGAGAATATTCTGTGCGATCTGGGTATTGGCTTTGCATGAATGATCCAAATACTATAATTAATCAACCGCCCCTCCCTCACGGTTCCACTTGCTTAAAGAATAAAATCTGGAAACTTGACATTCTTCCCAAAATTAAACATTTTTTGTGGCGTTACATCACCAAATCCTTAGCCACAATTACACGATTAAATTCTAGGGGAATGAACATTGATCCAGTTTGTCCACGGTGTTTTCGGGCTGATGAAACTATAAATCATATTTTTTTTACTTGCCCTTACGCTAAACGAATTTGGGATCAATCTCATATTCATCTCCCTAATCTTTACACTCCTTCCATTGATAGTGAACAAAATTTAAAAAATATTATTGACTATCAGTTCACATCATTGTCACCACATGAAAGAATGTTGCCTTTATGGCTTCTGTGGCATATTTGGAAATCGAGAAACAAATTTATATTTGAAGGTATTTGGATATCTCAAAGCACAGTCCTTAATAGATCAAATTGCGATGTTCAAGCCTGGATTAATCACACTTCCATGGAAGCAAATTCTATCACTTTGGGGCCTAGAAATTCGCAACAGCAACTATGGACTCGACCATCGATGGATACTTTAAAATGTAATTTTGATGCGGCTTTTGATAGCATAACTAGGAGCACAAAAGGGGGATGGATTATTCGTAACTCAACTGGCGCATCTTTAGGTTGGGGAGCTTCTCAACTAGGGACATCTATTTCACCGTTAGAAGCCGAAGCAAAGTCATTATTAGCTGCACTACAACAAGTTTGGTTAAGGGGCATTACGAACATTTGTTTTGAAGGAGATTGCAAGTTATTAATTGATATGTTACACAAGCAACACTATGACATCACAATTGAAGCAGTTATTCGTGACATTCTCTTTTGGGTTGAGAAATTTTCCAATATTTCATTTGCGTTTTGTAATAGAAATTGTAATAAAGTTGCTCATTTGTTAGCTTCCTCTGGATGTAATTCAACTACCTTTTATTCTGATTTCTTGAATCCGCCTATATGGCTATCAGACCAATTGTATTACGATTTCCACAATTATCAAATATAATTTTATTTTGACGAAAAAAAAAAAAAAAAATCCAATCTATTTTCACGGGTTAAGTTATAACATAGTGATCCTCTAAAATATTTTATTCAACTTGATTTTTACACGATCCTTTTGATTAGTTCGGTTTATTTAACCAATGATCCAATCTATTTTGTCATACCGGGTTCGGTTATAACATAACGCGTGCGACAGGCGACAGCAACTGCAACTTCTTTTGCTTGTTTTTGTTCTGTCCCAGTTCCTGGGTTGAACCCAAATGTTAATCGCTCTGTTCTTATGGTTTTATCTCAAAGACTACTCCTTTTACGAAAATCTCACTCTTTTCCAAGTGCCCTTGTTACCAAATCACATAATTCTTTCCCCAAGTCGGTTAAATATCTTGAATCGGTTCTGGTCTCTAACGCACACCAAGCGTTCGACGAAATTACTGACTTAAATGTCGTTTCTGCTACAGCGGTGATTGGTCGTTTTGTGAAGCAAAACAGACATGTAGAAGCAAGTCATGCCTTCAAAAGACTGTTATGTTTGGGCATAAGACCAAACGAGTTCACGTTTGGGACAATCATTGGTTCTTCTACATTTTTGAAAGATGTCAAATTGGGTAAGCAGCTACATGGTTATGCATTAAAAGTGGGACTTTCTTCGAATGTGTTTGTGGGTAGTGCTGTTTTGAACTGTTATGTGAAGCTGAGTACTTTGGTAGATGCTCGTAGGTGTTTTGATGATACTAGAGAACCAAACGTAGTTTCTATGACCAATTTGATTAGCGGGTATCTTAAGAAACATGAATTTGAGGAAGCTCTTTCGTTGTTTCGAACAATGCCAGAGAAAAGTGTTGTTACTTGGAACGCAGTTATTGGCGGGTTTAGTCAGACGGGGAAGAACGAAGAAGCTGTGAATACGTTTGTTGATATGTTAAGGGAAGGTGTGGTGATGCCTAATGAATCAACCTTCCCTTGTACTGTAACAGCGGTATCTAACATGGCTGCTCATGGTGCGGGGAAAAGTATACACGCCTGCGTAATCAAGTTCTTGGGTCAGCAATGTAGTAATGTTTTTATTGGGAACTCTCTGATAAGTTTTTACTCAAAATGTGGAAACATGGAAGATAGTCTTCTTGCTTTCAACAAGCTCGAAGAACAACATCGGAACATTGTATCGTGGAACTCTATAATATGGGGTTATGCGCATAACGGAAGAGGAGAAGAAGCTATAGCCATGTTTGAGAAAATGGTCAGCGACACAAACATGAAACCAAACAATGTGACACTTCTTGGACTATTATTTGCATGTAACCACTCGGGTCTAATTCAAGAAGGGTACATGTATTTTAACAAAGCTGTGAATGATTACGACGAGCCAAACGTGCTACAACCAGAGCACTATGCTTGTATGGTGGATATGCTCTCTAGGTCAGGTCGTTTCAAAGAAGCAGAGGAGCTTATCAAAAGCATGCCTCTTGACCCGGGGATCGGGTTTTGGAAAGCGTTACTTGGGGGATGTCAGATTCACTCAAACAAGCGTCTGGCTAAATTAGTAGCGTCTAAGATCTTGGAGATGGATCCAAGAGATGTTTCATCATATGTAATGCTTTCAAATGCTTACTCTGCAGCTGAAAAGTGGGGGAATGTGTCAGATATAAGGAGGAAGATGAAGGAAATGGGTTTAAAGCGTATCACAGGGTGTAGTTGGATTGAAGTTAGAGACCAAGTTCGTGTCTTTGTGAATGCTGACAAGAATAGCGAACTCAAGGGTGAAGTCTATAGGATGTTGAGACTTATTACACAATGTATTAGAGGAAGATGAATGTGGTTAAAACTTGCGAATGCAACTCTTAACATATTTAACAATCTCCTTAAGGGCTTATATGCTGATCTCGTAATAAACATATCACGTTGCGGTAGCTATGATTTATACATAGCCTAACGTAACTTAATATGTTGTAAGACTAAAAATAATTTAGCAAGTTTCTTTGTATCACGGCAATGACAATGGCATTGATGATGGGGCTAGTGGTGGTGGTGGTGATGATAATGGTGACAATACTGGTGGTGGCGGCTTCGGAATATAATAGCCATGACCGGGGCCGTAACGACGACCATAACCTCCAGTTTGTTTACTTCTTGATCCTGGTGATTGTATCATCTTCTGCCTCCATCCTATAAAAGAAACAAAAAAAAAAAAACTTGGCATAAGCACTAATTCATGCTAATTGAATTAGATGAAGTGATGACCATGTTATTTTTTTCCCCAAATATGTTGCTCTAGGTGCATACATATTTTCATTACTTTTGCACTATGAACTTGTGAAGCACTAACCGGTTAGTGGAGAAGCAAGAGCAGATTCGATAGAGCAGGAGACCAAGATAGTCACTAGAAGAAAGATAAACACAAGTCTCAAATTTGGCTGATTCTTCATCTCCTATGTATCTCCTCTCCTTATTTAGCTCCCTTCTTCTCTCTCTATCTCTTTGCTAATGCTAAGAAAAGTAGCAAAATGAGATCTTTTGGGACACTCATTAATTTAGTCAAGGAAACCAAGTCCCTACCACACTTAACTAGCCTTCAAATTCACATCTACTTTGATGTTATCATATTTATAGTCTTCTATCTTATCATAAATTCTAATAACAAACTAGGCAAAGAGCTCTGCTACATCGCAAGATGTTTTTCGATTATTTTGTATATGTAGAAGTAATCTTGGTTTATATCTCCTTTTTATTGAAAGGGAAGTATATTATAAAAGAAACATCACTAATGATATGTAATTACATTCAAATGCCATTAAAAATATATGTTTTACAAAATGAATTAATAATAATCTATAAGGATAAAATTGTGAAATACTTCAATTTAACTAAATTATAAAAACAAAAATACATTATTAATATTTTTTTAAAATGAATGGCCAATCTAAATAAACATAGAAGATTTAAATATCCAACTTATCATATTAAGTTGTTATTAATTATTATATTTCACCTTCCATCTTTATATGATTATATTTCTGTAAAACAAATAAACTCATCATATCATTCATATTATAACAAAAATGTAGATTTTTTTTCTGCATGCCATGATTCGAATTTTTGAAAACGAATATAAATTGTTCTCTTTATAAACAAAAAATTGTAACGGATAAAAAATTCAAACTTAATTTTATATACAATATATAATTTTAGTAAGAGAATTTTTGCAAAATACCCTTTTGTTGTATCTCTTTTTAAAAATATCTCAATTATCTATCCCTTTTCAAAAATACCCCTGTTCAAAAATGAAAAATGATAAAGTTTTATATGGTTTATAAGGTACTTCTATATAATAACTACTACTGGGAGATTTGATACAAATATTTTATAATGTTTTAAATCGTTTTTACAAGTTTTATAAGGTTTTTAAATGGTTTTTATAAGTTATTTTTATGTTATTTATGAAAGATATATAACAAGTTATACACATACAAATGTAATTTGTGTGTATATTTATAAGCTTACACACATGTTTGGATCAATTTCAACATTTTTAGTGGTTTTTTGATAAAGTTTGAAAATGAGGTATTTTTAAAAAGGGGTATTTGAAAAGGATTATTTTTGAAATTCCTCCTTATAGTAATACTTCAACAAAAAATATTTTTAAAAGTAACGGGTCAGAATTTAAATACAATGTAGAATTTAAATACAATGTAGAATTTTATATATAACAATACTTTTAAATCTTTTAATTTGGAACATGTAAAATAATTTAACTTAATATTTTTTAAAAAATTATCATAAAATCTTAGATAAAAAATTAGAATATATACTCTAATTTGGTCTTTTCAAACTAATATTCTAAAATATATTGCAAGCGGCGAGTTGAACTATAATCTTATAATATACGGTGCGAATAACTATAACTAACATAACATATTGAAACACTGTTTTAAAATATAAAATATATAAAACTAGTCAGTTGCTCGCGCTACGCGCGAGAATTTTATTACTTTGTTTATGGGTAATTGATTCGTGTTTTATTTCGTACTTATTTTCTCCACTACAACATATTTTTATTTTCTATCTCATGTTGTGTTTGTATATAAAATCTATTTTATTTTAGTTTTGATAGTAGTTGAGAAATTAAGTGTCTATAGTATAAATCAATGTGTAAGCATAAACAGAAGTGTTATGGAGAGTTGTAAAAAAACTGTGTTATTAAGGCTCCCACCAAATATAGATCTAGATGATGTTAATATTGTGGGTCCTTTTAATATGTTGGTCCAAAAGTTGAGAATGATTTGTGGATTTTGCGTGGATTGTTGTATTTTTTATTTATTGATTTAGCGATCTCTTGTTTATTATCTATTTATTTTGGTTTGTTATGTTTTTGTTATTTATTTTTTTTGTTATATTTGTTATTTGTTATTGTTATTTAACATACATATTAGTATAATCTACTTTATACTAATTTAACATATTTATTTTATTATGATTATTATCTGAAAGGACTTTTCATTTATTTTTTTTGAAAAAACTTGTTTACATGTGTATAAATCTTTAACTTAAATGATAAAATGGTATAAATAAATTATTAAAATTAAATAGTAAAATGATGTTTGAAAGGACTTTTCATATTTCTTTTTGAAAAACTTGTTTACATGTCTATAAATATTTAGATTAAAGAATAAAATGATATAAATACATTATTAAAATTAAATAATAAAATGATGTGGATGATGATTAGGATGATGATGTGGCTTAAGGAGAAGAGAGTAAAGTTAACTTTATATATATAGATTATGTATACAAAGAAATATAATCCGTGCTATAACACAGGTACTGATCTAATTAAATTTAAAAGGCGCTTCTAAATTAGTTTGATTTTTTTATTAACTGGAAAAACAATAAAAATAAAAAAACAGTTTTGGTGGTAAATTGTACTTCTAGCAAGGTTGTTTCGAAAACTTTAAGATCTCAGTTGGCTTATACCACAAACAATCAAAACTCATAGTCCAAATCAAGACAGTAACCCTTTAACAAATAAAAAAAATCTATTATAATTGTTTTTATTATTCACAATTGAACTCATGATACAAAAACCCTATATATGTAAGTTAATGTTTTTTACCATGTGATATATTTTTCTTAGAACCCTAAAGTTAGTTTTAAACCACATATCCAAAAAGTTGATGGAGAATTTAAAACTAATCATCCGTTACTCATATTGAATTAGAAATTCTTACTTGCATTAAGTGTTTTTTAATATTTTAAAACCTCATAGAAATATTTAAGTCTGACGTTCATAATATGATCATTGGACGAAAATATTTATTGTCGTAAATTTATAACGATTAGTGTTTAATTATTGTTAGGTTGAGTTTTTAGTGACCTATAAAGAACTTATCTAACTTCATTAAGAAACACAAAACATTGGTCATAAAATTAATTAGTATTAATAATAAGAAACCAAGCAAATTTTAGCGTGAAAAATATGTCTAAACTTATCTCTCATATTACTACTATTCATTGTTCTAGTTTTGGGGTGTGCCTTTGTCCATGTTTATTCAATTGAAGAAGATGAAGCGAAATCATTATGAGATACTTTTCTTGTAAAAATCACACCTAAGTGTGCGTTGAATATATAATATCCATTGTCTTTTGGAAATGAACTCTCTCTGATCTTTGTTGCAACGATCTCGTCAAAGAAGAAAAAGTTTGTCACGATAAGCTTATTAAATATATTGCCGACATACCCAATTTAATTGCTATAGGAAACACAATATTTGAAGAAGAGAGATGACGTATAAAATCATTGTGTCTCAATCTCTAAAACTGTTTAAATTATGTATTGCTTATAGTATGTTGATCCTCTAAATTTACATTTCCTTTATGTATTGCTACCAAAATTTACATTTCCTTTTTGTTCAAGTTTTCTTACCACAAATATTTATATATGTTACTTTAATGCAATTTTAACCAAGGCGAATCTTTGCAAATGAAAAAGTGTAATTACATATAAAATATATTTTTTTAAAAATGTAACCTAATTTTTTTTTTTGAAGATTTCAGAAATATTCCAAAAATTAAAAATTTAGAGTAAGTTGAGCAACCACTAATAATATATATATATATATATATATATATATATATATATATATTTTTTTTTTGATGAAATGTTTAATTGATTGATCAAAATAGAATGATATGTACAAATAGTATAGTAGCAATACATTTTTAAAAAATTACATAATGAGGTAGAAAAGAGGCAAAGAGCAGTGACGGGCTAGCGGTCGTGTTGTTCGAGTAGCGGAGAGACACTTAGCCAACGCTGAAAAAGATTCATGTAGCGTGGTTTCTTAGCATAGTCCAAAGAAGTAATGCGATTTCTAATGAGCTTGTCCAGTCGTCGAACCATTTGAGGAGGTGGGGTAAAACCGTTCGCATGAATTCGTGCGTTGCGTTCTCGCCAAATATGATAGATGGTGATCTGAAAGCAAAGCTTGGTGAGGAGATCAGTTAAGAAATCCCCTGTACCATTAGTGAGCATTGTAAGTGTAATGTCCTAATCCGGATCCTGCCGGTTGTGCAGCAACTTGCCTGCTAGGTCGGACCAAACGGTGAAGGAGTAGGGGCAAGCAAAAAACAGATGGTCTCTCGTCTCATCTCGCTCTCCGCAGAGCACACATGGTTGTACCAGTCCCCAAGACCGCATTCGAGCCCCCGTCGAGAGGCGATCACGGATAGTTAACCATGAAAGCACAACGTGGGATGCCTTGCTTTACCCACACGACCGCACTCCAATCCATTGGCTGGTGGTGAGTCCTAAGATTGTCCCACGTGAGCCTGGAGGAGAAACAAGCTGAGAATTGGTCATCCCCATGTCTCCAAAGAAACTTATCGGGGCCATAGCGTCGGGTA